AAAAAGTATAAAATTGAACAAAGTATTTAATATAGTCAATTTTCTGATGTATAGTATAAATAATTACATCCAATAATCATATTAATGAAAATAAAGAATACAAAAAAAATTTTTATATCATTAATGAAAATTTGGTTTGTATTTTCTATAAAATTATTATAAATTATAAAAACAAGTTTTTATTTGATCAATATTTAAATCTAATAAACATAAAACAAATAAATGTAAATCTAAAGAAATTTAACAAGAAACAAGTCAAAATGTCTCTAATATTAATACTTATAGAGAAGAGCATAAAACAATTAATATAGATCTGGTTTATGCCTTAATACAAGTCAATATTCTACTTAAAAAAGTTGATAAACTCAAACCATTTTTGCTAAAATATTGCAAAAATAGTATATATATATATTATTTAATTATATAAATATTTATTATTATTGATATTAAATTATATATATATTTATCATTCCATAAGTGGTGCAATTATTAAATCTATACAATTGTATAGTAAATATTTGCCAATCACATTTGATTCAGAAATCAAAGACTTAAAAAAATTTCTAATAGAACAACAAATTTCTATAACAATCAATGAGTCACTTAGTATTTATAAAAAGATAGCAGTTAATATATGTTTAGTTTTTATAATAAAACTAAACTTATAAAGACTGAACATTTATCTATTGTTAATAGCAAGACTGTTATAAAATTGGTGATAAAAACTCTTCAATTCTATAATATTTCATTTGAAAATATTATTTTTTTATATTAGATAATGTCTTTTATATGCTAAAAACATTTAGCATTTTGTTTTTTTTAATTACTTAAATGAAACACAATCATTATTTAATATATATATTAAATCTGGTTAGTAAAATATGGGCAAATTATAAAAATTTTAAATTATTAGATAAAATTAGTATACAAATTAAAATTTCATTTACTTATAATAATATATACAAAAGAAGATAAATTTCCTTTTTAAATTCATAAGGTCTTAATATATTATTAATCTTATCTCTATTTTCTGTTAAAATAAGATAGAATTCTTGGTTCAATTTTGTTTTCTGAATTAACAAATATGTTTTTCAACTAATAAGTTTTTATTTGAATGAGAAACTTATTAGTAATAAAATTAAAATGATTTACAAATTAATATCTATTTTTAAGAATCCTTTACTTATATCTAAATTTGAAATTTTAACTGTATTTATTACATTTAATACACAAAGATATGTAATAGTAAGTAATAATAATTTATTTTTTTTTAAAAAAAAAAATTTAAATTAACTTTTTTTTTATATTTAATATTTTTAATAATTTAGAATTTTTTAAACTTCATAACAAATCTATGAAACCTTTCAAATTAAATTATTTAACATAATTTGAAGCACAACTACAATCTGGTACAGTTGATCCACCTTTAAATAATAATATGTTAACTAAATTTAGTATATTATAACTTGATTTCTTATAATATATAATAGAGTTTCAAGAAACATATCAATCAGCATTAAATAAATTTAAAAAACATATTTATCAATATCTTGTCTTATCTTTATTTAAGGTGATTTAATGTTTTGACCCTTAGCATTTTCATTTACAACAAAGTAGACAAGATATTAATTTGTATAAATATATTCTTAAATTTGAAAATCCAAACCATATAATTATATGTAAGTGAAGGATTTATTGTAATCTAAATGAAAATTTTAATTATAATAGTGAATTTGATTTAGATTCTTATTGGAAAGAAAAAACTAATTGTCTTTCTAGTTTATCACAAATAATCTTAGTTTACATTTAATTTCCTGTTTTGGGAGTTAATGTTTAGTGAAGCTTCTTAGTATATAAAAATATTCTTACAGATAGATGACAAGCTCTTTCAGAAAATTTAATTGGTATTTTGAATTTTATGTGTTTTAATAAAGTCAAATAAAAATTTTAAAATCCAAGCATATGCTGATAAAAATATTGATGATTACATTAATATGTAATCTTGACATACATTTGATGTTAAGGTAACTCTGATATAACATACTTTCAATATAATTTGAACCAAATTAATGTTTAAAAAAATATCTATGTTCAATTTGTAAGCTGAGTTTTTTAAAGCTTCAAACAAATTAATTATAATTTTCAAGAAACTTCATTCGGATTCGTAATTTCTTCCAAATATGATCATGCACTGGATTTTTTGAAAGAACTAAGGTTTTTTCTAAGAGTTCACACTTACCACACAGAACTAGTGTGAAAATTTAAAACTTTATGACGTTCGTTTTACCGAATTGATTATATATTTGATATATATATATGTGCACATATGTGCAATATGATTCATGAAAAAAATGACACATATGCACATATATGCACAACACATTTTCCAGTCCACTCTACATTACAGTTACGATATTATACCTACGGCATTACGATTACTGCATTACGGTTATGGCATTGCGGCGTATAATATTTATGCAATCAGGTACAGTGGTAAAATTAATTCTACCACATGGTAGAATGCCGTAATGCCGTAATTCAGTAATTCTACCACCAATTAGGAGTACCGTGAAAATCACGTCTTTTAAAAAATCGCTATTAACTCGAAATTTTTCCTATGAAACTGCCTTCTGTGTTCTAATAAAAAAATTCTTCGTGAATTTTAGTATAAGCAATGCCTTTCTCATCCTTAATCCTAACCCTAAATATGATGCTTATTACTTTAAATTTTTCGCTTAATTCGATTTACGTTACATCTGATCCTTCGATCTAATTGGCTAAAAAATCATGTTCTGAAAATTTTTTGCGAGTGAGCTACTAATGCTAATGTCGTCCCAAACTTTAGGGAAGTACATTAGCACGTGACAGGTTTTAGATTTAGAGTTTATATTTATAATAGATACGTACAAATCATGCGAATCAGTATGTGTCCGTAGACGGTCCGCTTTAAGCGGTTCCTAAATCATTTGAACCCGGCTTGGATTATTTATTAAATGATTAGTAATTTGACCAAAATCATAGCTGAAGCACCACATGTTTGTTAATGTGCATATTACAATGTTACATCGCGAAGGTTAAGTGCGTTTTTACCGCCATATGCGTTATTCATCAAAATACATATAAGATTTTACGAACTGATTGCATTAGAAAGTCATTTTCATAATATTTACATATTAAACAGTTCTTGATATTTGTTCGTGGCGTAATTCAAATAAATTTAATATCATAAAAAGTTTTTGTTTAAATTCACAAACACGTTTTTGCCGTAGCATAATAAGATGATTTATTAATTTAAATTTCAGATACGTACGTATGTACATAACTTATAGCAATAAACTATTTTAACATTTGAGTCATGTAAAAGCTTATCTATGCCTCATATGGGAATTTCAATAATCATTTAGAAAGTTCTTTAGAACTTGTAAAATTCGTAGGCGAAAATAAATTTTTTGATCAATTTCATACATATTTAATCCTACCTTAAGATTATAAGAAATCCGGAATTTTGAGGAATATCTTTTACTAAAATATTTTTGTTTTTGTAGGTCAGATTGATTACGATAGCGATAATGTTTAACACAATGTAATTAGGCGATTGGTATCTCTTAAAGTGGGGGCAGATTCACATATTGGTCTACATACCGCATAAATTGTATTCTTGATATCCATATATAAATAATGACACTTACTTAATCAAAAAAGGTAACTCTACCTTATCCCAGCTTTAATGATACCCTATTTTTAGTAATTTATATAAATTCATTTTGGATTCATGTAACCATCGTGAAGGCCTTTGTATTATAACAAGGTTAAATTTCATTACTTGAGACAATAGATAGCAAGCCTTTCGGTAACTTTCAAAGAAAATACGATCTTGAATTTTTGATAGCATACACGGTCTTTACTATTATACATTTTTGATTTTATAGACATTACTATAATTTTAATCCGTGTAACTTCATCGGATAGTCAGCTCCATTGATGTTTAATAGGCTTCTTATAAGAATAAAAAGTAAATGCAATAAAAATATGACCTTCCTAATAGATGCTTTGATTTAAATCTGGAATACAAAAGCTTGGACAAAGAACTGAAAACTATAAAAGTTATATATCTTTCATTCTGATGCTTTAAAATTGCAATGAAAGACATAGAAAAAATGAACTTAAAACCAAAATAACGCGAAGAAAAAAATTACAAAATCAATAAAATTACAAAAATAAAAAAAACTGAAAAAAATTCATGAAATACATTATAAAAATGAAATAAGCAGAAAATACGCATTCTCATCTTTTCATCAAATATTATGTTTTGATTTTTTTTGATTTTTATATTTTAGCTTTTTTTGGGGGGATTTTTATATTTTAATTTTTTTTTCATTTTTTCATCTTTATTTTATTTTTTTGGATTTTTTATTTTCATTATTTTTTTTTTGATTAAATTTGAATTTTTCTTTTTTGTTTTGTTGCATTAATAACAGACTTTTTTTAAGGATCAAATATTAAACAGAGATGGACGTTGCTAATAAATTTCGAACCAACAAAATTTTAGGCGCCTAAGGAGTTTTTTAAACCTTATTTTTCATATAAAAATTTCATTAGAAATTAAGTGCATAAATAGAAATAGGTGCAAAAATGGTATTGCACTTATAACCATTAAAGTTACATTTATCGATACACTTACAGATTAGACGGTTTGCGTGAAATTTTGAGGTGTCTCATTTAAAAAATTAGTGACACAGTCTGTCAGTATTGCAACAATCTGGTATGAACTGTGATGTGTTTGATGCATCAAAATGATATAACGAAGGATCAATATCGGAACTAGATGAATGATATATATTTATAGTACTATTCACTTGATCAGAACTTCCACCAACTAATTACATACACGTTATTACAGTATAAACACACGAAAATAAATAAAAATCAGTAATATAGGGAAAAATTGCATGCGAGTATTTTAACCAAATACATACCAAGTAAATTTGAATAATCGCTTATTAAGCATCCACCAAATAATTCACTAGAAAATTCATTTTCCCGTATGTTTGGTCATAATAAGTTCCAAACCCCTCAAAAAGTGGGACCGAATATGTAACGTTATTCGTTGTATTTGGAGAGCTGAAGGAAGCGTAAGATACAGCATTTTCAAATGAATTATTATTTGCAAATGAATTTGACCTCGATTGTTCTTCATGCCTTGCTTTTGATAGGGATTTGCTAAGCAATGCTTTGGAATGTTGTAATTTACGTTTAAGTTTTAATTTACGTGTAAGTTTTTTTTTCTGACATTTTCGTACATGTTCATTTCTAATTGTATCTGGTGTATTATTTATAAACTTATTATCTTTTTTATCCTGAGGCGTAGTTTCTAAAGCTGATTCTGTTTGGACCACTTTATTCATGGTTATATCAGAAATTCTTTTATTAATTATATTCGATGATTTTAAATTTTCATTAGCAATTATCTCTAATGTTTGGTCTATAAATTTAAATTCTTTAGGTTTAGCACTTATATTTCTTCTTTTTGTCATGATTAAGCAGAAAAAATATAGAACATAAAGAAAAAAGGGAAAGATAAAAAGTATTTTCATTCACTAGTCAAATATCAATTAAATATACACTATTTTATTTACTTTGGTCTTAAAAAGGTAGATACCATTTTAATTGATTGTTTATAAATGAATGATTTATTTTTAAGTCCGTCAAATTTATTTACTTAAATTGGAGAAAAAAAATTTTTAAGTTAATACTAAACCAAACATGTAATTTGGCTTGAAGGCGTTTAAAATTTACAGGTTTTAAACAACACGATAGAAATTGCTATAAGAGAGATTACTTCAAATTATTGTATTGAAATTTATTCAAACAAGCTTCTAAAGAAGCAATTCTGAACAATACTTGATTTTCTCTCAACTATATTTACTTACGCCACTTTCTTAACGATAACTTATATGCACAATCGTTTAACTTATGCGGAAATTCCCTAAGTTACTACGGGTCACAAGTTACAGATATTAATTTTTAAAGTAACTAAATGTACAATCATTCAATAATAAATTTATTTCATGACTAAAAATACTACTTTGTTGTAAGCGATTTTTTTTAGCGTACAGCATCTACAACACATATAGCATGTATAATATGTACAGTTAATTTAGATAGGAAAATGCTGAATTTGGTGAAGAGAAATCAAAAAAAAAAACCTGAATTTGGCTGAAGCTGAATCTAACCAATAAAAAATCAATTGATTGACACTATTTGACCAATCAGATGCGAGTTCTACAAAAAAAAAATAAAATCTCACGCAAAGCAATAATAGCACTCGAAAATTTGTCTTACACAATTTATCTTGTTGATAAAATTTGAAACTTGGTGAAAAAAAGTCTTTTGCTAATTGGCCATTAATTTTAATCTTGTATGATTAATAGCTATTCATTTTTCTAAATCATATCATGATCGTCGATAATCTTTAAAAGTAATTCCACTGCTTGCCTCATACAAATCGCCTTTTAAATGCCCATCACAAAATTCATCTAAACAAATAAAGAAATGATAAATACTATATAATGGCTTTTAATTTTACACGCAAACACTTTTAATGTTTGAAACCGTGTAACTAAAGTTCTTACGAGAAAAGTTGTTGTCATTTATTCTTTTAAGGATTTTCTTAATTTGAAAATTGTCAATTTGAAGATAACTTGTAAGGATCTACTGCACTTGTAGAAAACAATAAATATTTCGTAATTGTAATATCATTCTGTTCTATATATGACTAAAAGATAAGGATTTACTTGAAGAGATTATTTATTTACAAATAACCGGTATTTATACGTACAATCAAAATGTGAACTTCGCGAGATTCTTAAAGTGGAAATATTGATCCTTGAAAATTTCCTTATGTAGGAGCTACTATTTTGTATAATGATCAGACTAACGCTTGTGTTAGATTACACATCCAATACAGATTATTGGGTCATTCATTAATTATGATTTTTATTTTCTACTATGTAAAAATAGGCAAAAGAGATTAATTATTATTTTATAAAGCGACTAAGTTATTATTAGTTTCTATCAAGAACTGTAATTTAAAACTACCTTAATCTTGAATTTTCTTATTTAAACAAGGATAATGCAAAACGGCCCTTGCTCTCCCAAAAAAATTGCACCCATTGTAATTTTAACCAATCAAATTTTAAAATCGAAACGAACCCACTTTTTTACAAAAAGACAGCTCTAAATTTTTATTAGGAAACCATCTTCTGCGGCCTAATTAAAAATGTTTCTCGTGTAATTCTACTAACAGATATTACACAGTTCAAATAATAACCCTAATTATAACGCGGTTTTATTTTGCACGCAATTTTTTTACTTAGAAAACAACATGTTTGTTTTGACGTTACACCTGTTCTTAAATGTTGATTGGTCAAAACTGCAGGGTGAACAATTTTTTGTGGGAACGCTACTGTTATGGGCGGGTATACGGCCAATGTTCCTCGACGTGCTAGAGGCGAAACGATCTGGCATAGGGCTAAAGCAATCGTCGGGTAAAGTTACGAAAAGGAAAATGGACCTTGGTCACGTGTTACATTACTGTTTATTTGTTTTTGCTTTTTGTATCATGGATTACGACTGGAAGGGCTTTATTAATTAAGTTTTCGGAATTTATTAAAAATTCTGGCTCATATTATAGGTGCTTCTTAGCATCAAAATACATATAAAAAAATCATATATAAATTTGTGTATATTGTTTATATATTATAATAAAGTTTAAACCTATATTTGAAATTAAAACATAACAAAATAATTATTTTGTACAGTTTATATGTATTTGCAATTATTAAAAAAAAAGTTCTGTAAATAAATAAACTTTTATTTATATGTATTAAATGCAAATAATTGTAAATATAGAATTTCACATCAATTATATATATAGCAATAGTAATAACAATAATACTTACCATATTAATAAATCTGTGCATAGTAATTAAATAATCTATTAGATTATTGTTTATTTTTTTTTTAATGTTAAAGATAAGTACTTGTGATCCAAGCTTTTATTAATAGTATGTTTCAGTTTTGTAATTATATTATAACAGTTACAGAAAACAATTATAAGAAGAATGTACAACTAGTTGCTTATACAACTTTAATTATTATCTAATTTAAATAGTTTTTTAAATGTTTTAAACAAGCTGTCATACCTAGAACCCATTTGTAAGTTCTCTATTTAAATATTCTAGTTTTTGTAAATACTTATTTATCTATTCTAATAACTATTCTAATTTTTATTATTATAAATATACTATAATTATTAGGTTTTTAAAATAGTTTATTTATATGAGAAACTTTTAATCTTGTATTAAACTTACTAAAACCTTTTGTTATCCAATTTCTAATTGACTTAGTATCATTATAGTCAAAATCAATACTTGTAGTTAGAGTAATCCTTAAACTGCTATATCTTTATAGAGTTTATATAACTCTAATACTTTTCTTTACAATCTTATCAATATCTTATATATTTTTGCAAGTATTTTTATACTACCAATTTAGTTTGTTCTATATAATATAACTTCATATACAATTCAAATAATAGTCAAATTAATAAACATTATTATTTAGAGTTCTTATTTCTTCTACTTAGAATTTTTAAACAAAACTTCTTATAAAGTATATACTTTTCAAATTTACTCATATAATTTGTATACTTTTAAAATTAATTTTAATATAATAAGAATTACAACTTACAATTCCAGATACCCAATTAAGTTATCAAAATAAGATTATTTTTTTAAAAATTTTATTACTAGTAGAATTTGAATCTATTATTTTAAAAATAACAATCCAATTACTAAACTAGGATCATTATTCTTATCTATTAGATTATATTACTTTATTAATATTATAAGTATAGATAAAAATTATGCATATTGTTTATTATTAGATATAACTAAAAATAACTTTAAAAGTATTTTAATATGCTAAAAGTTAAAAGTCTAACTAAAAGTTAAGTCTAATTATATTTTGACACAGATATTTTTTAATTTTAAAAATTATATAAATTTTTAAAATTAAAAAAATATTTGTATTAAAATATAATTAGTCTTAATTTTTAGTTAGATTTTCAAATTTCAGTAAGGATTTAAACTTTTAGTAAAGTTGTTGTCTTTTAGTAAAATTTTTAAAGATTTTAGTAAATCAAATCTTATTTAAAAGTACTTTTAATTAATTTTTAATTTCAGTAGTGATATAGGCTATAAGATCAGAAACAACACCACTATTTAAAAAAGAAAATATAATGTTGAAGTTATATAATATTATTCAAAAGCAGATTAGATAGTTTCAATTTGATACTGACTAAAGATAACTTTTAAAAATTGGTATAAAATATTTTAGATATTAATATAAAATAAATTAAAGAAGCATATTATTTATTATAATTAATGTTTTTTTTTTAGAACTTTATAAATTATAATTTTATTTTATTTATTTAAAGCAGTCTATTATTTAAACTAATTTAATATAAGAGATAGTTTAGTCTTTTTTGCCTCTTACATGAAAGAGAATGTAAATCTTATTTATAGAGAATTACAAAGAAAAAAGAAAGAAACTTCAAACATGACTTAACACTTCTTTTATTATTAACATAAATTATTTTACCCTTATTTGTTAATACTTTTTTCTTTTTTATATAACCTATTCATCAATACTTTAGAATTTTTTTATTAAAACTTTTATTTTTCCTACAACAACACACAACCAAGCATATGTCAATGTATTAGCACAGTTACAGATTTTATTTGTCAAGATAAATATTATCTCAACAAATGTGTTCCAAATTGTGAATGGCTTTTTTTCAATAAAATTAGTGCTGTTACTTAATAGATAACCTGAATTATGGCATAATGATATAATAGTTTTTTGTAGTGCATTTTAGAGTTATTATACAATGTTTTTTATAGTTTTAAAGTCAGATTTATTTATAACAATAGGTAATGAAAATACCTACTTTTGAAGTCATTCTTAGTAGGTTTATATTTTAATATAAATTTAAAAGTTATAATAGCAAAATCACTAAAGAAAAACTTTTGTTAATATGTAGATAATGATTTCTTATATAGATTTTTAAGAAATAAGCAATTTTGACAAAATGAACATTTTTGTTTTGGGTTTTCCTATTATATCAAATCATGATTGACAATTGAATAATTATTTGTTAATCATCATGTGACTATAAAATTTTAATAATAATTCTGAAATAGTTTAAAAATCTTTAAATTCTTTAAGTTAGAGTTAGAGTTTATAATAGTGCTAAGTTTTAAAGAAAAAATAGTAAAATTACTTGAAGAATTTTTTTTGTTAGTGCCAAAAAGTGGCTTCTTATGCAGGTTTTTTTTTTTTTTAACTATCCCCGATGTATTACATCGTGGGGCGCGTGTGGCGCTCTAATTTTCTTTATTAACTT